CCCCCGGTGCGGTAGTGCCTTTTGCAGCTTTGAGGGCCCTGTGAATCTCCAGCTCCGTTACGGGTTCCCATGCGATCTCCTCTCTCTCAGGCGTGATCGTTCCCTCGTCAGGTTCTGCCATTTCTGGAAAGAAGGACTTTATGAATAGCCTTGCCTTGTCCTCGTTGTCCGCAACTTCCTCAGTTCCCACCCTCAGAGGTGGGACTTTGCCGTACGATTCCGGGGGACCCATGTAAGATGCGGCTTTCCACAGGTGTCCTTCGCCAGCGCTGTCTAGAAACTCTTTCCAGTGCGTTGCTTTTGCTTTCTCTATCGCTCTGGTCCATGCTCGGCGTTTCTCACGCATCTCCGCGAAGAGGATCGCGGTCTGAGGATCTCGGGAGCCTTTGGCGGCACAGCTTTCTTGCCATCTGCGTCGGGCTCGGTTCGCCTCGCCTTGTTGTGTCTTCAGCTCCGGTGTGAACCATCGTTTCGAGTAAGGCGATGGCTTCGCTGTTGGAACGTGTCGATCGATGGCATCTTTAGTAGATGTGACCAGCATCTCGACAGCCTGTTCAAGCTCCTCCCTTGATCCCATCTCAGGTAGCGGATCTAGTGCCGCCTGCACTGCCTGTCCGATTTTCTCACAGTTGGCGCGTTCATATGCTCTTCTGGGCTTGGCATCGGCCGCACGGTCTGGCCGGAGCGACCATTCCGAGTACGTCGCGCGGTGGTCCGATCCATAGTTGTCGTGGTACAGGTGGCATTTGATCAGTCTCTCACGGGAGTCGGTCACCGTCAGGTCGATGGTGGACGTCTTCCCTGGCCTGCTTAAAGACCAATAGGTCGGTGCTCCCCGGGGGAGGCACCATTGGAGTCTGTTTGCCTGGAAGAAGCTGACCAGTTCCTCTGCGTGTTCTATGAAAGCGTGGTAAACCTCTCTATTGCCCCAGGCTGGGTGGTGTCGATTGAAGTCTCCCGCGAGGATGAGTACAGTTGGTTTATCAGAGCTCTGTCTTGCCTGCCGGATGGTCGACTGGATCTCGTCCAACATTGGCTGTATGGAGACCTCCTCGGCGGATTGATAGAGTCCGAACGGCGGGATGTACACCGAGAAGAGCAGGATCTGGGTGGCGGTAGTCCACATTCTGACGGCTGTGACGTCTGGGTGATTGCATTTCATTTGGCGGTGCACAGACGTGGAGATCCTCCTATTGACATACAATAGGCTTCGTTTCCGCGTGTTCTCCTCTTGGATGGTTGGTTGGTAGAGGCGCCAGGCGCTGTGGTTGACGTGCGTCTTGTACGCCGTAAGTGGCGGTTCCTGGACGAGCAAAACATCAAGATTCCGTGTTTCCGTGTCGTTGATCAGGGCCTCCATGCCCGCTCTCGATCTGTAGATGTTCAGTTGCAGCAAGCGAAGGTTTGGTTCTGTCATTGCATGTGGGGTGGTTCGGCAGGGTTCTGGCAGTTTTTGTCTCCTGTTGGGTGGTCTCCGTTACAGTCCAAGCACTTCGGCCTCACACCCGGGGGACAATTTTGTCTCTCGTGGGTGCCCGCACAGTGTCCGCACCTTGCCTTTTCTTTGCATGACCACGCTAGATGGCCGAAACCCTGACATCGGTGGCACCTCTTCCTCCTGACCTGATAGGGCTCGACACTGCCGATGTATCGTTGTCCAACGATGAGGCCGTTGTTGACCATCCACTCCGCTGCCTCCGGCGAGTCGAACCAAATCCCCAGCGAGCCATGGGTGCCTGGCACTTTGTCTCTCCGCCGGAGCCATGCGCCATGAAAGATTGTATTTGCTACTAGCTGCTCTGGTTCAGAGAGCATGCTGAAGGACCTAACCTAGGTATAGGCCTCCGTACCAATATTAAATACAAGAGGAGGTGACCAAGCCTCCACCACACTTCCCCGTAGTCCATCCCGCCTCTTGCCCGAAGACTCACGTTCAATCACTACTTCGGGGGTCCAGCCCCGGCAAAGCCTTCGCCCATGCCCCTTTCATGGTTTGCTCCTTAAGCCTATGTCGGTACACCATGCCCGCTGCCCTATATACCCTTTCCATAGACCGACACGCGCATCCGTCCTCTCGAGCCACATAGAAGGTGTTGTAGACAGTCCTCGTCCATCAGCCATCGCCTCCATTATGTGCTACGCCCCATGACTGTTACATCACTTCGCGTTGCCCTGCCGAATCTCTTCTCTCCACAGGGCCGACCGTGTCTCGCAGGCTCTGCTCAGGTGGCACTCCTAGCCAGGCAGCGCGTCCTGTAACGTTTCCAGCCCACTAACCAATGGTATCTTCGTCTCCTCAACAAGTCCCAGCCGATGGCTGTTGAAGCCCTGAGTGCCGGCACTTCCGTAGTCCCAGCTCCATTTGCATAGGGAGTTGCCAGCTTCTCCGTGGTATTTGTTCGGAATCCTTCGTAGGTACCGTAGTTCGATCGCCGGAGGGCGGCAGCAGGAGTATAAGCCAGGTTGCCCGGTTCAGCGTACCTGGGCGAATATCCCTTTTTACTTCGTTCGCAGAGTATGCCGTCCCACTAATATCCCTCCTAAGAGGCCACTCCGCTGTGGTAGTGTTCCTCCGAGCGCTGCACCGGTGAAGGCAGCCGCCTCCCAGCGACCAGGTACTGTCCCCATTCCTCCCGTTCCCTTAACGACGCTCTGCAACTTGCATCCCCATCCTCATTTCGCCTTTCCCTTAACGACGCCCTCGCACCCAACTTTTATCGAAGTGTTGTTGTTGATTTTGGGGTGTACGCGAGCGCAGGGCATCACGTTCCTTCCAAGTGAAAACTCTGCACACCACCACAGGTGTCCTTTCAGGTGGCCTCCGGGCATCTTTTTCAGTCGAGTCATCGAGATGACCTTTCCTACTTAGAATCTGGTCCCTTTTGAAGATTGAAGCCACCCGTCGGATGGTTTTCATACCCATTTGGTTGGCAGTCCTGTGTTGTGCAAAAGCAGTTTGTCGCTGACTTCATCAGGCGAGTTACCACCACCACACCTCCAACCATGAGAATCATTTAGCAAGAGGATCTCTATCGTAAGAGCATCTCTCCAGTACCCAGGCTGCACCGCGGGGAGGCGATTCTCTTTTGCAGCCCCCCACTTATACAGTGGCGTTCAAAATCGGCTTCCATATCAACGTATAACTAGTTTGGTTTCCAGACCCTAATGTAAATGGTCTAACCATATATGGCTAGTTCTTATACCATGGCATGTTTCTAAAAGTAAATGGTACAGTATTGGACAGGTAAATGTATTGTATCCATTCAAATACAAGTATTTCCTTTACGGAGGTTGCTGGAAGATTCGATGCAAACATGTAAATATCACGATAGTTCGATCTAGCAATCTGCCAACAACTGCCAGTCGCTACGAAGTTCGTAGAGACAGGCACCCTTATGAGCCTATCGTATTGAGAAAAGATAGATAGGTGCCACGGTACTTATATGCCCAAACAAACTTCTTCCTTGCTTGCGGTTTGGGTTTGATAGGCGTCTAAATTATGTAGGTTGCAGGCTAATATGTAAATGTTCATGCTAGGTTCGTCGGTGCCGTATCCGTCTGGGGAAAATGACCAACAGCGCCTTTGTCATTGATACTGCCTCTGAGGCCCAAGCGTTTGTTCCATGGGATGGAGGCTTAGATTATGCCCCCACTGCGGGCCATTGGAACGCCTCCCCGCACCGTACCTTGCAGGAACCAACTGCGTTGCCGCTTGAGAGATGATAGAAAGATCTAGTGGAAAATCATCAGCTTATAAATTTCCCAGCTTTCCCAAACCCTTCTTTCGAAATGAGATTAGAATATAGGGGATAATGAGATTTTAACTGCGACGAAATGTGATAAAAGAAACCCCCCCGGACGCATGGCCTAGCGCAAGAGTACCACCAGCCTCGACTGTCCAGCAGGTTGACCGATACTCTACAGGAAGCCATAATAACTTTCTACCCTGGAGGCCTACCCACTGATCTTCCAGTGTAGGTACTTCAAGGTTGGTTTCTAGTGATTTGGACGAATCATTGTAATACCAGGGTTGAATATTAAGGGAGCCCAGGTTTGTTATTAAGCAGGGACTATTATTTGAAAAGCTTAGTTCATAAACGCGGCCTTCAATGGTGAAGGTCTGTAGTTCCGCGCCAGTGGTGGGATCCCAGAGCTTGACCGTCCAGTCATGAGAGCCCGACGCCAGGAGCCGGCCGTCCGGTGAGAAGGCCACACAGCTAACCCAGCCTGAGTGGCCCTCCAGGGTCTGCAGTTCCGCGCCCGTGGTGGGATCCCAGAGCTTGACCGTCCTATCATGAGAGCCCGACGCCAGGAGCCGGCCGTCCGGTGAGAAGGCCACAGAGCGAACCCAGCCTGAGTGGCCCTCCAGGGTCTGCAGTTCCGCGCCCCAGGATTCCTCACCTTTAAGTGATCGATGTATCCAGCTAGATGCCTCTTTCTTGAAGTTCTCTTTGATTATCGATCTCCTTGGAGCAAACACGAGGCCTGAACAGTAGAGCTGAAGAGGTGCAACATCAGCTATCTGTCTATTCTTTAGGATAAATCTTCTCGCGTCATGAAGAAATTCTGATATTTCAGGGCCACCGTCCTATATTCTTTAGTATTTATATATATAGCATTTTTATCGGCACTTACCCGTATGACCGACTGTAATTCCTTAATTGCCCCCACAACTTTAGACACGATACCGAGAATGCTCATCGTTTCTACCCAGTGAAGAAAATGCGTTTTGAGAAATGCGAAAGCTTGATCCAGCTCGGCTGCCGGGTTCTGACTTTGTATTAGGTGTCTTGTCCAATAGCGACAAGCATATCGCGATATTGGTGGCAGGTGATCATTGGTGTGTATGACGATATCTCTGCGTTGCGTACCATCATCCGGTAAGTTGCAAATATTTTTCTTTAAACTGTGTTGCATAATGTTTAGGCATTGTACGGTGAGCTTTCGATGCACTTCCTTCTCATCGACCCAGAATCGACTGATATTCTTTTTCTTCGGATCTAGAAGGAAGTCTCTAAACGAAAGATGTAACAACCTAACTGGTGCATCGGGATTATCGAGATTGTCGGGTATACTAAGAACAGGGTGGAGCAGGTCCAATAGACTGTTAATATCGTCCACTTCCATATTCAGAAGTTGCGCGAGGGCTTTGGCTGATAGTGGAGTAGCAAGAAGGATAATAACACCGACTATTTCTTTGAACATTTGAACCAACTGCGGCGACTCCCATTCATCTTGACCGGTAAGAAGCTGATTTAACACCGGCATATATGTGCTGTCCATCTTCGACACATATGTGGTCTGATCCGTAAGCACTGCTCTAAGACGATTTTTGGGGTTCCATCTGACATCACTGATAAATCGATACAGGGTGGCGGCAGAAATAAATAACGGCACTGCTCTCTCAACTAGGGACTTGATACACTCATCTCCAGGCCAGTCCGGTGGAAATGAGCGCTCCTGTCTTAGTTTTGAGAACTTATCCTTAAAATATAATTCTATGTCGTGCTTAATCACTGGCATAGGGATCTCATGAATGATTAAATCCTGATGGTCACCGTCGATGTCCTTGAAACCTAGCCTAATTGGCAAGTCGGGTCTGCTTGTCAGTAGAAACCGTAGTTGTACTGACTTTGACTTTTGGACTCGCGGCAAGAGTCGGAGGATAGCTTGTACATCTTCCTGCTTGCATTCATCCAACGCGTCGATTACAATAATCAAGGTTGTAGTCGGGGCCTGTTGTATTCCAAGTAGTGGCTGCAGAAGAAGTTTCTCAAACTGCTCCCTTACTGCCTTTTCTGAAATATTGGGGTCGTTCTCGATTGCTTTTTGGATGCTAGGGATCAGCTGGGGTAGGCTTTTCACTAGTTGTTCAATAAGTGTTGGGAAGAGTCTCTTTGCGTTTTCTCGGTCCTCTTCGCCCCTTTTGAAGAAGAAGCTCGCTCCAAGTAATTTTTTCTCTTTTAGAAGGCGTGCAGCTGTTCGAGAAATTGTCGACTTTCCAGTTCCTGCCATGCCATTTAGCCAGAATATACATTTTGCCTGTACTGATTTCGCCCACTCTTCAATCTCGCCAAGAAGTTCAATTCGGGTTCCTGAAAGACACTCGGTATGGTGGTTCTCGTAGGAATCAAATGCTGCCCCTGTTGCGGCCTGTAATCCGTCTAACCTGATATTTTTGGGGAAAGTCACTGCCATGAGCTGCAGGTCGCCAAGAACCCCGCTCATCAATTCCTCTATCTGACTACTCTTTCCGATCGTACGAGCAGCTTTCGTATACCGATCCAATCTCGAGTCATGCTCCTCTAGCATAACTTTTGCAAATAAGTCGTGTAGATGTGTTACCCGAAGTTTGCAATTTTCAAGGGTTGGCCTTAGAGTAGATTGGGTGGTCTCATCTACGGTTTCGACATACTTTTCAGCGTTTTCGAGGAGCTTGGAGATAAGGGGTAGCTTCGACGCCGAGTTCTTAAAACTCGCGGGGAGGCCTTTGGTGTCCTTGATAGCCTCGTAGACTTGTTGAGTTGCATGGATAATTGTAATAACGGACGAAATCAGACCAAGGACAAGGCCCGCTTCGGCGCCGGACATGATGGGATATCTGTCAGTAGAGTATCAAGTGGACTCCTGAGGCCTTGCGATGCAGACTGCTGACAAGCGATAACAGCGTCAGCTTAGATAGAAAAGCCGGAATAGAGACACGGAATCGATACGCGTAAACCAACAAACATGTGAGACCAGTGGTCGATGGATAAGGCTGACGTAGGGTTGTGTTCGAGCAGGCACTAGTGGATCGGCCCACACTTTGTCCGCAGCCGGCTTCCACGTGATTGACAGCTCTGGATAGAGTATCCATACATTATATATTCATGAGTCACCTGGTTTTCGCTAAGCGCAATTTGAAGAAGCATATTACATAGTTTGTAGCCTAGTGATCGGGTCGAGAATAACTAGAGAGTTGAAGCATGGAATTTTGCAAAGCACTCTGACGTTGTATATAAATGATACTAGACGAATATGAAGCATGAGCTATTTTATAGGACAAAAACAACGAACGAATTCTATCAAAAACCACATAGTTCAATTGATACACCAGCGCTTCGAAAATGACCTTCTGCACTCTCTTTTTTGGCGCAAACAACATCAACGCATCGTTGAAGAAAAGCACCAAAACCCTGGCTAGGATCTTCCTCATACAGCGACCAGTTCTTCCTAAGATAAGCCTTTAACTCGGCAAAGAATTCCTCTATAGGGTTCAAATCAGGCGAATAGGGTGGTAAGTATAGTAGTTTCACCCCAGGATCGAAGCACATCTGCTTTATCCTATCTGAGTGATGGAATGATGCATTATCCATGACGAGGACAGATTTTGGTTCTGGCCACCGCCCACAGTGCTGGAGCAGCTGCCCAATAAAATCTTCGAAGAGGGCGGCATTGGTTGAACCGGTAAAGACACAAGAAAGGATAATGCCATCTTGAGTGTAGGCGGGCAGTATCTGATAACGTTGGCCCCGGTGGAACCTAGACACTTGGACCGGTGTCACACCTAGCCCAACCGCTCCCCCTAAACCCTATCCGTTTATCACATCCAGATTCATCAACGTAGACCAGATGATATGAACTAAATTCGGACAGTTTATGCAGATAGAAATCTCGTAGTTCGGGATTCTGCTCTTTTGCTCTCTGCTGAGCTTTCTTTTTGGTCCAACCCGCGCGATGAAGCGCTCTTTTGACGCTAGCTGTCGATGTTAGTATATCAAATTCGTCTTGAAGAAAGACGACCATCTCATCAACATAAAGGCCGGGTTTCTCGGTGAGGTGATCACAAAGTGCATCAAGCATCGGAGGCGTAATACTTCTAGGCCGGCCAGCACGAATTAGAGGCGGACTGGCACTGCCAAACAACCGTAGGTTTCTTCGGATATGTGTAATAGTACGCTCGCTACATCCGGCAGCACTGGCCATCTGTGATTTAGTTAGTGATTTACTAAGAAACATATGGCAAATAAATTCACGCTTCCATGGCTGAAGATTCCGTGCCATTTTTCCGCGGCCTGGTCTGTCTACAGGGTCGGTCGGTGGCATATTCTGGCTGTATTGATACTTGGGGCTACGTGGCCCGTATTATTTTGATACGCTCTAATACAATGGGGTTAATAACAGTTTGGTTCCATACTATATCGTTCAAGGCTGAGTTACACTCTAACCAATCTTGGTTAAGCTCCATACTAAAGGCCTTGGCAGTTAGGGTTTAAGAAGAAGTTTGTACGTTCTGAGTATAGAAGGCGATTTTGAGCTCAACTGTACACTCGTCATGAGACACTCTCTCCTACAAAGTAGTTGGCTTGGCGTGTATAACTGGGAAAGACGACAAGAGAGTTCAAGGGCAAGCCAATATTGCAACACACTGTACTTGCTTAGGTATTTGTGCCCTATGTCCTATTATTATATCTCACCATATAGTACCTTCTAATTGGCATATAGCCCAAAACAATCACTCCCAGGCCAATCTAAGTTATCTATGGCCTACAGGTACCGTTGTTATAAATATATTTGATAAACCAGTATTCCCTCTCTAGTCAGCCCGAAATTCTCTCAAGCCCATCCTGCTGTCCCTATGCCTTGCAATATCTTGACACCAGCTCAGGGAGCCCCAACCACTCTAACCCCCCTCATTCAAGGGCCTGTCTCTAGGCCTTCTACGCTACACTCGCAAGTCCTAGGGAAAGAGGCTAGCTCATGGGAGCCCGAGGATCTCGATCCTTATTCGCCCCCAGATGTGGCCCATTGCGATCTTTCAGACGATGCCGCCAGCGATACTTCAACTACCTCACCGACTACCGCGCCGGAATATAAGCCTAGCGAAAATTCTCAAAGTACTATACTGAAGAATGAAAACTTTAGCATCACTCTTGAGCTTATAAACAATTATCCTTCGTCTCGAGAAGAAGGATGGGAGATTCACATCCAGATAGACACAAGCGCACAACTTGATAGAGCACAGCGAGAAGAAAAACAGGTACACATTTGCCAAAGGAATACAGTGTGTATGTGTGTGCGTGTGTGTGTATTTCATTTAACCTGACCTCTCTCCTGGGGGTTGTGCAGGCTATCACTACTGTACTTATCCTTATCTATTCTACATTGGCCAATTACATGTATGCTGAACACGGCTTTCGAATGCTTCCACAAAATCTTGTAGTTACTACGTTAACAGCGCCGCGCCTAGCAGAGCCACTTAACTACCTTCCTCTTCCCTAGTATAAGTATGCAAGGTACAGCCGCACCCGAAATCTCCTTCCATGCCATATGTACAGTCTGTTGCAAAACCAGCTTGACACTCCAACACTCTTTGCTCTTTTGTTTAAAGCTTATGCCAAGCCAAACTATAGCGAGAATGGAGTATATATACGTCGATCATAAATGTATATTTATGACTAATACCTAGAGATAGGAGCAAAGGCTGCTTCTATTATATGAATCTCGGTCATGTGATGCTTAGATACCATTCTATACGTAAATAAAACTCGGAGGCGGCCAATCAACCGATGGGGTGGCGTCTCCACGAAACACAGCGGAACAGCAATGAAATGCTGTAAAGCCCGGAACGCTACGATCAGGAGCTCAAAATAGGTGTAAAGAGATGAATGATGATGATCTCTCAGTCTACAGGCCATTTTGGGCCTCTATATATGTGTGTGTAAAAGGGCTAACCCTACATGAGCCGTATATAAGTGGATATGCCAGGGGGCCGTATGAGGTCACGTGATGTAATATCCGACAATAAACACTATATATAAACTAGTAGGTTTCATCATGGCATTTAACAAAGGGCAAGAGTGTTGAAGTGTCAAGCTGGTTTTGCAACAGACTGTATGAATTGACGTGTTGGGATTAGCTTCTGGGGCTATTTTGGAGTAAGATTGGTGTTATTCACTATTACTATACCCGGCCCACACAGGTCCAAGGGCCCAAAGGGGTGTGGACTACGTCTGCGGTCCTTGCCTTATTGCAAACAAGACAAAGAACCTTATTTTGCTTTAGACAGTGTTTGCATCCTGTACCCAGTAACTCGTCCTCTCGGTTGGTTGGAAATCCAGGGGAAGGAAATCGACGTCATGATCGGTGTATTGAACGGTCTGACTTTGCACAGCGTCTCGGATGGTCTCTCTAGCTGACACTTTAGGAATTTAGTATATTACATTTCTAATAATGCAGAGTACGTACCTATAACCAGCATTGGGCCACACCGGCAGCTCATTTGCCGTTTCATCGCTACGGGCACGTCTACCTTTCCTGGGTATTCTTCAATACGCCTCGAGCACACGCCTTGTACAGAGCCATAGATATATAGACGAAGTATCTATTTTATTAGCATGCCCTCATACTTGGATATACCCTACCTTACCATGGTCTGTCGATCTTCTCTCAGTAGTGGCTGCATCCATCCCTTCAAGGGTATGGTGTCATCTTGCAGCCGTTAGCCAGTTTCTTTCTCTCGTATTGGAGACGCTTACTTTTGTCGTCAACATCACAGATTGCGTGCACCTCCTTGACTGGTAGCTCCCCTGATATCGCCCCGTGTAAGAAGGCTCTCAGGTAGGGGATCAATGCAGCAATTCCTACACCACTCCCGATCATCAAGATGTGACTATACCGTTTTAGGTCTGGAGTTCTGCCATATGGACCTTCAACAATAGCAAGAAGCTCCTGGGACTTTTTGAAATCGGCAAGATTTCGCGTTAACCCCCTTCGCTGTGATATTAGAAGCCAGAAACGAAACGCATTCTCATTCTCTATACCCTCTTGCTCGTCACCACTTTCTTCCGTCTCTTCATCTACCCACGTACTTATTTGCTCTAAATCCCCAGCCTCCGGGTAGCGCTGTCGAGCGGCCGTCTCACAAGGCGTATTACGGTCTCCCATAGGATTAGGGGACTGCAGCACGCAAAATGGTTTATCCGCTAAAATTCTTAGGGAGCTTGCGGCTGGGAACGAGACATAGACGTACTGCCCCGGGGCCAATTCCCAGCCTCGAGTACCTTTAATAGAGATCTTTAGAAAACTAGTAGATCCTTTGTATTGAACAACGGTTGCCTTGGGCAGCTGCCCGAGGCGGTTTCGGTAGAGAATGATCCGGGCCCGATATATCAGGAAGGCCACCATAAGGAAGGCTGCCGTAATAAGGACCACGATATCATTATCCAAGGGCAGCCGGATTTTCTTTTTCAGGTGCAGCCAGACAAGCACCATCCCAGCAACCGCTAGAGCGGAATGATATATGAGGAATTGATCGTATGAGGTTCGCCTAAAGAAGCTGTGAGAGAGAAGGACGAGTGTAGAAAAAACTAGAGTAGCCTGTATCAACCGCGTTAGGCTTAACTACGGATACTCCTCGGGATGAAGTGGAACTAACCGCGAGGCCGTATCTCTGGGCCACATCTTTCAGATTCAAGCCCGTCGTCTTTGTGGCAATGATTGCGTGAACGGTTCCTTGCACAAAGGCCATCCAGCCCACTGCTCGATGTAGACGCTGATAGCCTAGCAGGGAGATACCGAGCGTATCGGCAGCGAGGCTCGGTCGGTTTCCAAGGTAGAGAGGGATGAAATGCGCTATCGCCAAAGACCCTGCCCGAGAGCCTGCGTGACGGAGGTCATCCACAGCGACCACGTTGCAGGTTAGCGTGCAACCCCAGTGAAGCACCAGCAGAAGTGCTTCGGCGCGGGTTATGGGCTGTAGCCACCACCTCCGGCGACGGAAAAGGAATGGTAAGAGAAAATGCTTTGCGTAGAATTTCCGAAGAGGGAGTTTTCTTATGAGACCAAGGGCCCATAGTGCTAGCAGAAGGCCCCCCAGGACATAGCTATAGATGGTCAACAAGTCCATTTTGCTAGGTTAAGGTACTAACCTACTCGCATTCATGGAGCGTATAATATCTAATATAGCCACCAGTAGCGGTGCGGGGTATGGGAATGGCTCACTCTTTTGCGACACTAGGGGCTTAATCAGTATCCCACCTAAGGATATAAATCCCCATCGGCTAGGACGCCTTGCACAACTATGCCATTTGGATCTTCTGTTATTAATCCGAGAACCCAACACACCCCCGGTCAGTCACGCCCTTTATGCGGAGCAGAGAACAGAAAAACGAGAGGGCGCGGTTCAAGAGAGGGAAAAGCAGTCTCTTTATAAAAGGACACGATCTACACGTTTTTCACAATCTCAGTGTATACATCTTGACTGAGGCGGAAGGAAAGTACGCCCAGTATAGCACTTACGGCGGTGAGGGCGGCCCTCCGCCCAAGTCCAAGCTGGTCAGTTGCTTGCCCTGGGAGGACAGAGAGAACGCCGCCTCCATCTAAGTGGACTTTCTAACATTTCCGGGTAGAACGGTGCCCTAGCCAACTCACACCGGCGTTATGAATTCGCCCACAGCTCAGACCAACAGAGTGATATCGATCGAGCTCTTAAGAGGGCCTTCAATGCCGCACGCGCGCTTCACGTCAAGTGTAACGCTAGGGTCTACCTTCTAGTCAGTAATGGTAAGGGGTTTCTCAGTCATACCTATCCGGAAAATGTCAAACATTGGCCTCCACCCAAAACAATATTAGTATGTTCCCGTCGCCCGTGAATAGAGACCCCGATTGACAGTAGGTCTAGAAAAAGTGGTTTCCAGCCATGGAGAGAAGGGACCCAAGTAGCTACGTTGGCGGGGGAGACTGCCCCTTCCAGTTCAGCCACGCCCCAACGCCTAATGGTCAGGTCGAGGCCCCTAATATGGCTTCATCACAGCAGGGGCTTGAACACCTTGATGCAGGAGAATTTCAGGCTGAATTCCTGGTTGATGATGATGATGAATATCAGGGTCTTGCACCACTACAGGGATTTCTAGAGACCACATCGTAATCCACCATGTAGTAAGTCTATATATAGAAAGTAAGGGTCACTGCCATAGAATTTGTTTCGATGCTTTGAGCCATCGAGCAAACTATTACAGTAGTTAAATATTTAGTGGGGATGATAAGCTAGAGCTCGAGGCAGGACCATTATGGTTAAGTGGTTGCCAAGAAACTTCAAAGGGGTATGATTCGTCGCATGTGGACTCCCAGTGTTCCATACACACACGTGAGAATCCCGAAGGACATAGCCCTTGCACAGGCTCCATGTTCACTATACCCCGAGCCAATGGGTCTAGTAGCCAGCAAGCCTCCATGGCCTTGGGTAGCACGTTCTGAACATAGGTCGCCAGAGCACCAAATGCATCCAGGGTGAAGCTCCTATCCTTACTTCACCGTTGATAAGACATTTGGAATGAGCAGAATCTCGGGGTACGAGGGAGACTCACATCACGCGAGCGGGTCCTTTTCCGCATATCAGCAGAATGCCGTATCCAAAGTGACCTGTCAGGGCCAGCCACCGCTTCCCCATGGCCTTGCTATCCTGGAGGCTCCTTCTATGCCCTTGTCTCCTCTTCTCATCCATCTGATCCCATTCCTCCATGTGGACTTGCCGGAGGAGAAAATCGACGGTATATGCCGATAGCCGTCGACCGACCGCCTGGCCACCCCGTTTAACATCGAACAGAAACCGTTCATAATGGCGGTATAGAAGGACCTGTGCTACACGCAGTTGAATATCATAGCACTCGAATGAGCGCTCCAGCACATCCGCACATCTCAGCAACTTGATGAAACTAGCTAGGTTGGAATCATCTACGGTTGGCGCAGCAACAAGGGGTTGATCCCAGATGCCCTTCTCGGCCCACATGGCAAGATGCGACTGAAGAAAATCAATAGCATCTTTCCTGATTAGATCATCGCCGGCTTTGATTGCGCTAATTATGCTAGAAGGCTTTAACTTCTCCCCAAATGTGTCCGTCATTATCCGATACGCGCGAAGGTACCGAGTTGTGGCAGCGCCATCTCTTGACGGTGGCCGTGTGCCTGTGTCCTCAAGTGTCTCACCGTTTGTAGAAGGGGAAAGAGGCAGGCAATTTCTCTCGCCCGCTATCTGCTGAATACCATTCTGTTCCTCTAGCACAGTGTCACCACCACCGAGGGATAGTTGGCTCTGGTTTGCTTCCCTCGTTTCATGTAGAATCGTCGTCCCAGGGCTGTCCATCCCCTGTCCAGGAGCTAATAAGGGGCTTGGCACCGAGCCCAGGGAGAGAATAGCCTCTGGGCTTCCTTGTGGTAGAGAGGGCTCCTCTAAAGATCTGTTGTATGGTTGTGCATATATCGCCCCATCCATGGAGCGAGCGAGCCTAGGTTCCTGGCCGCGGTGGTTTCCGAAATGTGGGGTATCGACTATATCAAAGAGTACGCCAAAGCGCTGCATTCTCGTGGAAAGAATCCTGAGATCTTCAATATCTAGGGCAGCTAGCGTTGATAGAACCTGACGAAGCAAAGAGGTAAACTACACCAAGTATTAGTGTGCACACTCAGAAGTTATACCAGGCCCGGACTACCTGGGGCCCGTGTACTCGTGTCTGGTTATTCTCATTTCTAGCACTGTCACTGCCGGTCTAAATATCAAAAGTTAGCACAATGAAGTATGAAACAGCAAGGTCTTACCAGGCTTAGAATCAGATAACTCATTCTTTGGCTCGATAGTATCTTCGAGAGGGCGTAGTGACCTCCTTCCACTACTTATTTTGATAAGGATACAGTAGTAATACTATATGATAAAGCTCTGTAAAGGATGTATATAATTATCTCTTTTTAAAAGGTTTAATGCTAAATTAACGGTCCAGGGACCTATTACAATATATTTATCAGCTTAATAGCCCAACGCCCTTTTGGCCTTTGTTGATTAAGCCTGACGTAAGACTCAAAATGTAAAGGTACTCCGTATAAGAAAGTAGAGCTGAGCATGTGCTGGTGTCATGCCAAGGGGCCAAGGCGCACCCTTGCGCGCCCACGTGCGCAGCTGCATCTCGGCAATTGCTGTGGCGCGCACTGCCAGCGCACCACCATCCTCAGGCGTTGAGTGGTTGTCAGGCTCAACAAGAGATATAAGGGTGCAGTGGCCTGTGATAGCATCCGCTATCACAATGTATGGTCTTTTGGCCGAGGGGCATAAGCACTAGACCACGGCGTGCTTATCCATCCCTAACAGTCTATCAGAAGGACGAATTCTATCCTGATATCGACAATCTCGACAACGTCGATATCGGCTATTAACTGGAATACTTTTTTGGCATGAGCGACAAAATGCAATAGTATTAAGACTGCTGAGTTCCATGTTTAAAGAAAGAGAAGTTCCTAGAGAACATAATAGATAAGTTAAGGAAGAAAGAGAGAAAGAGAGAGGAAAAGAAGACTTATATAGAAATAAAAGGAAAAATAAATGTTGAATTTCAGCCACGGTGATTAAGAGTAGGTATGTCTGCTGAAACAACATCATCTACCTTTTCCGCGGTGTCTAAGGAGAGATTTTTAATCCAGATAAGGATATGGGCGTGAGGGATACCCCGTTTTTGATATCAACATTCGCAATATATTTACCAAAGATATGGTTCTTGTAGATATCCGTCATCAACTCTTTGAATTTGATATAGAACACGCGATAAACTAAATTAGGCCGCTGTCTCCATGTTTGCATAGGTTCACCGTTCTTGTCGGTTAGTAGTTCACTTATAATCTCTGGCCAGCAAGGATTTGCTGTAAATGTAATAAAGAATTGAGGTCTACCAAAGTAGCGAACTAAGGCCATAGAATCCCGACACCTCCCCTGCATATATCGCATAGAACCCGGAAACGCAGAAGGGAGAATAATACGCCTGCCGATATCTTTAGGTCGATTATTTATACCGCGTTGGAATGTTGCTGATGTATTGACGTAGAGATCTGTTCGAAGTGTCTTTTGATAAAAGGTATAATATTTAAACTTTATCTTGATTGAGACCCAAATATCAACTAAGAATTGTTAAAATAAACCATCCCCACGATGTAATATATTTACTATAGCCCGTCGAGTATATAAGAGCTGTCGATATACCTTTCCCATTGAAGCATTCTCACGAACAAATTGAGTTCTAGTGTTTATTGTACCTGTGAGTGGGATATATCGATGGAATCTATGGCCCCCCATAAAGTAATATAGAACGTAGTGGAGTGGTAAATATAAAGGGTGCTCATGATGAATATAGGTAAGAAAATGATTATCTTCCTTAGGAAGTAGATCCATTATATCTTTAATTTCCTGCCGGCGAGGAGGAGCTTCTCGAAGGTAAAGCTTTATATCACGATAGCCAGCTTCACTATATTCAGTATCGATCTGAGGGACAAAAGCGGCTAGCTTATGATTAACAGTAGATAAATTATATTGATAGCCACCCTTTTTATTTGCAGTAAGCTTTAACTGCGGTGTTAACCGTAAAAAGGAGAAGTGAGTACTATCTTTTAGGATATCATCAGCCCGATAAAAGATCTGACTATATGAATTCGATTGTCTGAAAAATAAATTAAGCTCTCGAAGCAAGGAACGACAAACAGGATCCTTAAGTAGAGGGTTCTTCTTAACACGGTGACCTAAAGCCTCTTCTGGATCTAAAAAGTAGAGCTGTGCATGAGACGGTAAATCTCCAGCCAAAGGCCCCTGCATATGATAGATAGTACCCTACCTGAAAGATATATAATGATTCACGTGCACGTAGTCGCTTATCTTAAGTATATCCAATAGAGATATAAGCCAAAGCTGAATTAAGTATGCGGGAGAATTTTCGAAACTTTTTAGCCCGTGGTATATTAGAGCAGAAGTACTCATAAAGGAAGGGGGGAGGATCGGCAATTAGGATTGGCGATAAGCCACCATTACGGCAACATATTTGAAATCTGATATCGGTAGAGCCACGTTTTTTTGGAAGCTCCCTAACCTAAAATAAGGCGGAACAATAGGGACAGACGATATCTATCCTGCCAATATTAAGGGGTTGCCAGGTCTGGCCCGTTAAGAGGAAGCCTAGTGGTATTGAAGTAGTTAAGGAGGTTAAAGCGGTAGAAAGATCTCCTAGATTAAGAATGGGACCAATAGATCGATAGGCGGCACAGTATAAATTGGTAGATCGTCTAGACCTCGTAAGGACGGCGCCATATATCCGGCATACTGGGAGGCGAGATCGATAAATAGCGTATTGAACATGGGTTGATCGATTATCAATAGGTCGGCTGTAGTCCCTATATTTTTGAAGAGAACTTTCTGGGATACGTAGAGTTCTATACTGTTAACATTGAGTATAACGTTTCATTTTCAACTGGTTGGACACAATCTCTATATATTTTCGGAGGGGAAATAGAGGTAGTTGTAGAGATATTTGTTGATGGAGGAGTTGCTAACTGTAGTGGTTAACTTAGTGCAATCTGTCGAGGACGTTGGACCCTATCCTGCTGTCGATATTCTAAACAACGTCGATAGCGATTATTAATAGGGATTTGTTGCTGGTAAGAACGACAGAAAGCAATTGTATTCAAACTTCCTAGCTCTATAATGAGTAGAGAGTATTAAATAAGAACGATATAAAAAAAGGAGAAATAGCAAGAGAACTGAAGTATTAAAAAGATAGAAAGGAGAAAGGAAAGAGAAGAGTACACTAAAAAGGAAATAACTATTAAATATCAAAGAGATAAAGTTAAAAAAAAAACAAATATAATATAGAAAAGTGTATATCAAGCTAGCTTTGGTAGTTGCGCACACCCTACTAATCGGGGATCAGTTGGGCCTTGAAAGTGGATGTCTCCCATCTGGGCCATGAAATGTAACCATTCACAACTATAGCGTAGACAGCGGTCATGACCACTAAGGGACATATCCTGATTGTACCAAGCAGTGGAGATCTTGACCTTTTGCCTTCGTAGATACGCTAAAAACTCGTATTGATAAGGGAGTAGAAAAGACTTCGGACGGTTATCATGGGGTCTTATAGATAGACTGTCGACTCGATGAGTATAGGGATCGCGGGGATCGCAGTCCCAGAAGATTAGATTTTTGCCGTTTGGTTGACCGGAAATAACTGCAACACCATAGCAGTGCCAAGCCTGACTATCCCAAACCGCAGTTGATTTCCCTACCCATCCTTCCACCTGTGTTGCAAAAAGGGCTATCCAAGTTGTATGATGGTGTCTTGCCGTATAGAAAGAGGAGAAGACGTCTCGATGATCAATATCCGGAAGAGAGAGGGCCCAATTAGCCTTATCTTTGCCGCTTTGAAAAGAAATAACATGGGGGTGTATATAAGGTCTAGCCGGATCGGCGGATAGCTTGTTGAGAAACGGAAGTAATTCAGTAGCCGTGAGATAAGGCTCGGTCGGAATATCAATTGTAAAGGGGTATAAAAGGGTTGTCTTAGACCACGGTCGAGTAGCGGTAATCTGCGAAGACGAAATCGGGGGATCAGGAATTCGATTATATAGGGACTCCATATCAAAATAAAGGCAAAAAAGGGAATCAGAGTATGTAAAATGATATGTAGCAAACAGAACGCAGCAAAAAGAACGCAGCAAACAGAACACGCAACGCAGTAAAGAGTAGAATATAGAAAATGGATGTAATAAAAAGAATAAGGAAGAAAAGATTAAGAGAGAAAAAACATCAGAGATATTATAGATACCACAAACCACGCTAACCCCAAAAAAAGATAGTACGTCACAAGCTATAGCACGTGATAAATACAAAGACAACAAACCATATATGAAAAAAGTTCATATATAATAGTAACAAAATAATACACCAGGGATACGGTAAAAAAAGAAGATAAAAGGTATACATATAATAAATACTACTATAGAAACGAAAGCAAAACGTTAAAAATACCTTGAATATAAAAAAAGTATAAATATATATAAAGAAACAAAGTAACCTCCTCAAAAAGGACCACATGACCAAAAAGCAGATGACTAAGGAACACACCAGTCAGAAGTATCATATGATATTGGAGCGCGCTAATGATCGGTACGATTATGGCGTCTCTACGGGACACAGCGGAACGGCAAATCAATGCCTATAAGCCCAAGATACAATAGCAAAGAGCGAAAAATAGGCCTAATATCGATGAATGATGATAATAACTAGGGAAACAGGCCATATCTGGCCTCTATATATGGGGGAAGGCGTAGCGTACGTACGAGCCGTAATCAAACAGATCTGCAGGGGGGGAGTGGCGTTGGCCTGATACTGCCAAGACGCCGTACACACGAAGATTCTGACATATGATTAAGAGAGGAAGATGACTAAGCAACACCATTACTAAAAAAAGAAAACAAAAGTTCCAAAAAGCAAACAAACGCTAAACCAAAAAAAGCAGTATGAATAACCAATGAGAAGACAGTATAATGTGCATGAAGACACAACTTGACAACTATATATTGATGATGATATACGGAGTAGATGATAGGCTATTAAGCGTTTTGTATCAACCGCATTCGCTACAACTCCAAACTTTGCTCTGCAGCTACTTTATCGTTGTTATCGTACCCACAAACAATAAGTCCATTACTCATATGGCCAAAGACTTCGCGGATATCAATAAGTTTCAAGACTTCCCCGTGAATAATTAAAGCGTACCACATCCTTTCATTATTGCGTAGAAAGTCGTTGACTCGCTTCTCTGAGTTGGGCTCTGGAAAATGTACAATATTCTTTTCCTTTATACGGTATATAGCATACTTATACATTTCGGTAGGGATGTCCCTTAGCTCGGTATCATGAAGTAGGATATTTGGGGTTTGGAACCCAGTTTCCTGTGCGCCATCGGACAACGTCGGTAGATGAGGTGTCGTAGAATTTAGAGGGGCCAAAGCCATATCGTTCAGCGAGGTTTCAGGAAGCGGAAGGATCTGTTGCTCGGTCGGGGCTGCTAAAACAGGGCCTGGAGGGATAAGCTGAGATTCTGGCCGTAGCGTGGATGCTATCATCTCCAGGTTTATTGCCTTGGGAATTCGATCTCCTGGCTGCCTGGTATCGGACAGTATTTGTACATCCCCGTCCTTATCCACAGTTGGCTGATCTAGAGCGAGGTAAGCGGTAGCCCTTCTTCCGCATATCCCTAAACTTCGTCGATTCTTACCTTTCATTTGCTCATCCCCCTCCTTATCCACAGTTGGCCGATCTAGAGCGAGGTAAGCGGTAGTCTCCCGATAATCATCTACGGCCAGCTGATCTAGAGTGAGGTAAGCAGTATTCCCATTCCTAAAATTTGTAGATTCTTACCTGGCATCTCCTCGTCTCCCCCCATATCCATCGGCCGCCTAGCTATTGCGAGGTAATCAGATATTCCCACCTGCCCCGACACAGACAGAGGTGTTCCAGAGAAGGCCGATGTACTACACATGCTCAAGTCCTCACGCGGCAGTATATCTGAATCCGAAGACGTGTTTGAACCCAGAAATGCCAAGAATATGCTTCTAACAACGCTAAATGCCGATAGAGTGAGCTCAGGGGACGGATCGGGCTCGTTGTAGATTTTCTCTAGGGTAAGGTCTGAGAAGGCTTCCCTAAAGGCCGACCAGTATGGCGTCCCACAGTTCAGACTTTTCGACCACCGACCTTGGGGTGATTTCGCGCAACCACGTGCAAAGGGTCTCGGACCTGAAGCCGTTCTCTTACCAGCGGGCATGCTGCTCAAATATTCTGATATCTCCCGAGAGTTAAATCCTTCGTCCCTAGCGAGCCGTGCAAACTTGATCCACGCGTCAGGAAGGTAGTCAGTGTCCTTCGGCGGTGTATTGTCTCGCAGAGGCGTCTTATCAGTTAGCGACGGGAAGTGGCGTAGCGCGAAGAGCCACAGTCGGCGGTAGGCCACCTGAAATTCTGGCCCAACGTTACTTTGGCGGTGATGCCGCCGAAACGTGGAGAGGAGAGTCCCCCCCAGCCTGCTCGGGAGGAGGCATCGAAGGGCGAGTGCTGGCGGTTCGAGAAGCTTTGTGTTTTCTTGAAACGTCTCTAGCGAGGATATAATTGTGCTAATGTTTAGCGCGCGCTTCACCATCTCCTGTCGCTTTTTCTGGCTTGCTATATTCTTGAACAGCTTCCCGACCTTGAACATGCTTTTGATGTATCTTCTGTCGGTGATAGACCCTCGGGGGGACCGGCCCTGGAGTTCTCTAACAGTACCCGGGTCGAGGTACTTGCCTTGGTCAGCCCCGCCACATATGTCTGTCCACACATGTACGATATGTAGAACGCCAGCGGCCAACTCCTGCAAAGATTCAGGAATCCTCCTAAAAAGAGATAGTAGATTGTCGGCAATGATGTGACTGACCTCCGGATTGATCATCCTAAATATGCGACGCGAGCTTGCAAAGAACTTTACCGCCCATAGCCCGCGAAACGGCGTTAGCTTTTCAAGCGCCTTCCATAACACCGAGAACCTCTCAAGGGTTTGAAGGCGATTTAAGTCTCTGCGCTTCGAGCTCGAGAGCAGAAGACGCCACCTTCCGACATCCGTATTCCCTAATTCCTGGCATCTTAGGATGTTCCAGACTATCTCCCCGTCGAATAGTTTCTCTGAGTTGTCGTGGCAAAACCACATCCGATCCCGCACGTGATCAGAGAGGCCTGTTGGGTTAGCTTGGCGTAAATCATCTTTCGAGCTTTCGATATGCCGTACTCCCATATCACATAGGAAACTCACCGTCTTCGTTATAGAGAATTACAACCCACCAACGCTCCTCTGCTGGACGGTCAGAGTATAACTCTCTCGCCGCCTTTAGGCGGTGTTGGCCTTCTGTACAAGTGAGGAATTCGTCATCTTTAAGCTGAAGGAAAGGCGGGTCAAAAGAATTCAAATCTGCCTCGGAAATCCCAGATCTCGCCAGGGCTTCTTTAGCCACCAAAGAAGGAATCAGGGCCTTAATATAGTTTTCGGGATCCAGCCGGTTATCTAGGTGAAGACATTCCACTAGCCTTTGCACATTCCTCTCGTTCTCCAGGCGAATGTGATCGCCATAACCCGGGTAGCGAAGATTATGTAGTGCTACTTTAAAAGTACCGATTTGTGCGCGGCTCCTACTCTCCAGTTCCTCAATTTTTCCCTCTGTCATTGCCGTAGAAGCTGGAAAGTTTTCAGGGGTAAGCGGACCTTTTCTATGAGCAGGCTATAGGAGCAGTAATTCCAAAACAGTGGGAGAGGTAAAGTATTCAGATCTCCCGACTACGCTCTCATGATAACCTAGAAGCGGCTGCTTCGGGACTGGTCGTTTTGTGTGTGAGTTACCCTCTTTTATTGCTCCAACCGGCAGAGTAAAAAAGGAGCATGATCATATACGTGCTGCGAAATAGAGGTGGACTTTACTCTATTTAGCTACGCGCACCCCTCATCCTTTATTCTTTCCCTAACCACTACGTAGTATCGAATGGCGTCCCGCGAGCTCCAAAATATGCAGCGAGCACATCCATATAAGCAACCCCAGGATATCCAACTGGCACACGATGTTTTTACCATACAGTCGGAGCAGCTTCGAAGACTCGCCGTTCTGGAAAATGCAAGCCAACAAACTGAAGATGAGCTTGAAAAAATTAAACTACAAAAAGGCGTTCAAGACGCTAAGAGCGAGTTATACACTGTTTTAAGAGAGTTATGGCGGTAGATACTGTGTGCTGCAAAATCACCTTGACACCCCAACACTCTTTGTTGTCTGTTTAAAGCTTATTCCAAGCCGGTTTAATAATTCTAAGTATAGCTATAAAGATAGCTAATATAATTGCAATTTCTATTCACTATTCCTATAGTAAGAAGTGCGAGTATATACCTAGTAGATTTCTATAACTTACGGTATTAGTCTTTGGTCTGCCGTATGTAGGCCTATATATATATATAAGCGGGTGTAATAAGATTGTTCACATGCCTTAATTCTCTCTATCCTAAATTAATATAAGTGATTAGAGTTGTCAGGACCCAGTGACTGCACTGGGTTGGTTTTGCCCGGATACGCATTGGAGAGATGAACCGTAGACGGATGGGGAAGATACTGTATGGTGTGTTGATAGAGAGAACAACCGCTGGCCCCTTGCAGCGCTGGGGGTTATATGGCTGCACCGGGTGCAGCCACGTAACCCCTATTTCGTTTGCTCTGACCCCGTCGCTGAACCTGCTTGCTTCCGGGATCACGTGACGTCTGTCGACTCTGGTGTGCTGCGTTCCATGTTCATAACAAGAGTATATTTTTAGCACTATATGTATAGTTAAAATAAGTACTATAGGCTTTTACGCCATTAGATAAACTAAGGTAGCCAGGAGATATGCTACCTAGAGAGGCTTTTAATACTCTTATTATCTAATATTTCTCTAGCGGCTTAGGCACTATTCTATATGTTCTTGAATAGCTTTAACAGAACATTATAATAATATAAAATAGCTAGAAACTAAAGTAAACTTAGTGCGTCCTGGCTATCTTCTTTATTTAATAACTCTAGAAACTATACTAATACTTTAAAAGTTGCGTAGATATAGCGGTACCTTGGCCGTAACTGCTTTAAGCTAAAAGATAGTAGATATTTTGATTGCTATTTATACTCTGCAAGATACGCCTTGATAGAGCAGAATCCCTAAGCAATATATGCCCCGGCTTATACCAGCGCAAATAAACAACAAGTAGTATTGGAGTATCAAGGTAATTTGCAACACACTGTATAGAATACGGATCTATATTCTAATAATACATTGCCTCGACATAAGCTTAAACAGATAACAGAGAGTGCCCTGCTGATTTTGTAACAGTGTACCCGATGAACTAGTTGACTGATTGTTTGATTGATACAGCGGATACCACGCAGAGAGCTATCCTTCCTATCACACGAGCTGTATCGCTGATATCAGCGACTTACACTGGACGCATCCAGTATCACGATGGTTAGAGATTAGATATAGTATAGGACCGCTAGGGCAGGCTGTATCGCAGTAGATAGATATCGTAGGGGTCTCAACGAAGTGGCAAATGCGGCCAAAAACCAATAAACAGCTTTGCACAAATAAGAGAGGATACGTTGTGTGTACCGAGTATTTAGTCACGCTAGAGCTTAGGTCGCATGAGACCTCTCTAGCATGACAAAAGACGGCCCAGAGCATGGAAAGAGATTTTAATTCTGCTCCATATACTTGGCTGTGGTAGTGGTGGGGCGTCCTGCATCACAATATCTCCATCTGGGGTTATATTTTGCCTTGTATATGTTCGCGGCAGCATTTGTTGTTTTTTAGAACCCCTTTTGGACATTGTTGGTAGTTGTAATAACGAGGTGGTAATAAAGCGTTCAAAATGCAGAGAGATACAGTAACCTAGCCAAGTCTTTAATTATATCACAGAAGTAAATTACTACGCTTATATAGCTATTTTGAAAACTGCGGCTGTCACACGGCGCAAGTTTTACAGAATATATTTTCCCGCGATTATATGTCCATTCAACACATAGCCATCGGGCCATATACGACCACACATATCACCGCTAAGTACGAAGAACTGCGGGTTTTTTACACGTAAAGGAAGCGCTACATACTGTAGCCTGGATAATATAGTATATTGCAATACAATATATTGCAATATTGGTTTGCCCTTGAACTCTCTTGTCGTCTTTCCCAACTACATATGCCAAGACACGCTTATCCGGATGTACCATAACCCCCATGTTCCGAATACTTTACCCCGCGACAGTGGTGGTTTCTAGTTGTCGACAGGCTTGACACAAAGGTGTGGGTGCTTTTTGGTGCCATTTCTGCATACAGTGTGTTGCAGAATCAGCTTGACACTCTTACACTCTTTGCTCTTTGTTAAATGCGATTCTGAAACACGCTAAAATACATTCAGTTAGGTTCGAATAATCCCTGCTCATGAATCGTACTGTATCCAGAAATCACATGACCGTTACTGTAATTTTCGCAGCTATCCATATTCTCTGCAGACCCGCTCTCAGACTAGCCAAGTTCTGTGTTATGTCGATAGGATGGCTCCAAGGTTAGCACTGTCGAAAATCCAGTTTATCTGTGATATGTTAAAAAGCAATGAAGCTTTATCTATATCCCAAATTGCAAATGCTGCTGAATGTAGCCGGCAGTCAGTCTACTATGTTCGCTCGAACCTGCGGCAGTTTGATAGTCCGAGGGCGCCGCCAATTCCCACTGGACGACAGCGAACTATCACACCTCCTATGCTCCGCGCCCTTTGCGATCATCTTCTGGAGAAATCTGGCCTGTATTTAGATGAGATGGCCATCTTTCTCTGGGATGAGTTCCATATACATGTGACGAAGTGCAGTATTAGCAGGGCTCTAGCGTCTATTTGTTGGTCGAAAAAGGCGACACGACAAAAGGCAAAAGAGCGCAACCATGAGCTGCGGGATGCATACGTCCATTACCTTTCAGACTTCCGTTCCTATCATCTGGTGTACGTTGACGAGTCTGGATGTGATAAGCGGATAGGATTCAGGCGGACTGGCTGGTCCCCGCTTGGGGTGACACCCGTTCAAGTGTCTAAATCTCACCGCGACCAGCGCTATCAGATATTGCCTGCATACGCTCAGGATGGCATTGTGCTCTCTCGTATCTTCCAGGGCTCGACTGATGCTGCCGTCTTTCAGGATTTCACTGAACAGCTTCTAGAACGTTGTGGGAGATGGCCAGAACCGAAGTCTGTGATTGTGATGGATAATGCGTCCTTTCATCACTCCGAGCGGATCGAACAAATGTGTTTGGCAGCAGAAGTGAAGTTGATATATCTGCCGCCATACTCACCAGATCTTAACCCAATCGAAGAATTTTTTGCTGAATTGAAGGCCTTCATCAAACGAAACTGGCAAGTCTACGAGATGGATCCGAGCCAGGGATTTGATAATTTCCTTGAATGGTGTGTTGATATTGTAGGTGCAAGGGAACAAAGCGCGCAGGGCCATTTCCGGCATGCAGGCTTGGCTGTTGAAGAGATTTAACCAAAAGCCCTATTTCAATAAGGTTCTCTTGCCCTGATTCCTCGAGCACCATGTTATAAGCATGCTAAATCTAAGACGACTAGACATCTAGTCTACATGTAGGTTTTATCTCATTTTTCCTCCTGCGTCACTGATTCAATATTCCAATCTCCTGCTTTATGCATTCAAAACGGATGAACTCCATCGCTTTCACCCATTTGATGACCTCGACCATATCTCGTATCGGGGAGTGTCTGGATCTATACAGGAAGTCGCTAGGGAATTGCACACCTATGTAAGCCGTCGTTAGCCTCTCTTGTCCCACACGACCGTATAATCAGATAAATATAATGTATTGTACCATCAAAGATGTCTACCATATTTGAGTAAGCTCCGCTATCCCATCGTCGCTGACGAAGAGAAAGAAACATCATCATTACTGCAAAGAACCCATCTCGAAACTGGCATTGATGATTCGTAATCTGGGATGCAATGGCGATATCCTCAGGGGTGACTGGCTGCGTTTCCCCCAAGAAGCGAAATTGTAATAAGCGGAGTGATTCACGCAGACCACCTGAAAGGGAATGAAACCCAGGTAGCAACACGTTTAACATTTCCGTAACTTTGTTTGTGATTTCCATGTCGCCCAGAATAGCTTCCCTTGGTATCTTACCTGAAAGAAGGCATTCATGGTAAGCATCATCATGCCAGGGAATATCCATAGAAGGCACCCGATAATGGCGCGTCAGCGCCCAAGCAGGATATATCTGGCCTCGCGGGATCTGTCTCGTATCTACCAACGTTAAGTAGACCGGCTCCTCCCCTCTACGAATCTTGTAATGAGCATAGTTCAGCGCCCACAACAGGGACCCAGTTAAGGAGATCAGGTTCGGGCCATTGTAGTTCTGCCAAAGCAAGTGGTTTGAAACCAGCTTTCCGACCTCCCGTTCTGAGAGTACGGGTACCGGCACTTCATATTGGGAATGGATCGCTTGGGAAATAGATGCAAAGGTTTCACTCGACTCTACTCTCCACATGTACCGTGGAACGTAGTTTGAACTGCACTGCAAACCTGGAAGCTGATTAGTACCATGCAAAACCAAAACCTAGGGCAGCTGTTGGCATACTAAAATCACTCTGATTGCGA